GGTTGAAGAACCTTCAAGTTCGTGGATGACCAACATCACAAACTACATTGTTAACGGTTCCGAACCGGCCAATCCGATCGAAGCTAAGAAGATCCGAACCCAAGCGGCACGCTATTCCGTGGTGGCCGGAGAATTATACCGACGAGGGTTCTCCACACCCTTGTCGAAATGCATCACCAGTAGCAAGCCGACTATGGCATACGAGAAATTCACGAAGGAATCTGCGGATCCCACTCAGGTGGAAGAACACTAGCTGCTAAAGTGTTGAGGGCCGGCTATTACTGGTCGACCTTGAAAATCGATTGTGTCGAGTATGTGAAGAAATGCAAGCAATGCCAACAACACGGCAATCTAATACACACTTCGGCCGAGCAGCTTCACTCGGTCAATGCCCCTTGGCCGTTTGCTCTATGGGGTATCGACATTCTCGACCCATTCCCACTCGCCAAAGGCCAATGCAAATTCTTGGTAGTAGTTGTGGACTATTTTACCAAGTGGATAGAATTCGAACCGCTTGCAACTATAACGGCTGCCAATATCCAAAAATTCGTATGGAAAAATATCATCACCCAGTTCGGCATCCCATATGCAATCATCTCCGATAATGGGCTTCAATTTACGGATAAGAAATTCAACAATTTCCTCGAAAACGTTGGCATCCGACATCGGTTCACGTCTGTCGAACATCCACAGTCCAATGGTCAGGCCGAAGCTGCTAACAAAGTTATCCTCACCGAGTTGAAGAAACGGCTCAGCACGACTAAAGGAGTCTGGACCGAAGAGCTCCCCAAAGTTCTCTGGGCATACAGATGCACACCCCAATCAAGCACCAAAGAGACTCTGTTCCGATTGGCATACGGCACGGACGCTATGATACCGGTTGAAGTGGGCAACCTTCATTCCGACGGAAGCACTTCCACGAAGAGTCTAACGATGACGCAATCCGAGCCGAGCTGGACGTCTTAGATGAAGTCCGAGAGAAAGCACAAATCGTAGCCGAGGCGTGTAGACAGTGAATGACTCGGCGAGTTAATTCCAATTTGAAACCAAGGAACTTCCAAGAAGGTGATCTCGTTTGGAGGGCAACCAGCTCGGCACGGCGCAACCCGATTGAAGGAAAGTTGGCAGCAAATTGGGACGACCCATTCCGGATCCGACACGCTCTCAATAACGATGCGTATAAATTAGAAGAGTTATCTGGCAAGGTCATCCCTCGGACATGGAATTCTACTCATCTGAAGACCTATTACAGTTATAATTTAACGAATGTACATATGTAAATATCTTATACGATGCACTCTTTTCCTTGAACTGGTCTTTTTTCCTCTTAAAAAATTGTGAGAAGAGGTTTTTGGCCGGCAAGGTTTTTAACGAGGCATCCATTCATCAATGACAAGACAATTCAAGTATCTATGACTTGTTTTACATGTCTGCAAAATTTTCTAAGTCTTCCCTCCCGAGATGTCTCTCGGCCAAGGATGTGGCTTTTATTTCAATTATTAAGTCTTCCCTCCCGAGACGTCTCTCGGCCAAGGATGTGACTTTTATTTCAATAATTAAGTCTTCCCTCCCGAGATGTCTCTCGGCCAAGGATGTGGTTTTTATTTCAATTATTAAGTCTTCCCTCCCGAGAAGTCTCTCGGCTAAGGACGCGACTTAATTTTTAATCTACGCGTTAACTCAACTTCTAACTATTCATTCGGCGCGGTTTAAATCAATATTATTACCGAAATACGGAATACAATTTGAAACAAGTAAATTGCATTAAAACAAGCCTTATCGGCCAGGAAATACAGGAGTTCATTCAAAGGGATCTATCGGCCCACTTACAAATCCAACACACCCAAAATCAAAAGCCAAAAAAGACTACGCTTCGGGCTCTCCTTGAACCGGTGCCTCTTCCTCTTCGGCGACCGTCTCCACGCCCCCAGTCGGCTCGGCCGGGTGACAAATTAGCGCTTCAGTATCAGGATGTTCATTAGGGGGAATTTGTGTCAAGTTCACATAATTCCCCCGATAGAAATCCATCGACATATTGAATTGAAAGTCAGACGGGAGGCTTCCAAAATGTCGAGCCTGGCGTGCCGCCTGAGCAAAGCCAGCCTCATGCTGAGAGAGAACCTTGCTCCTAGCTCTCTCCCTATATGCGCCGAAAGCTTTCTTCTCGGCCTCCAAGTCACTCGCCAGCTTAGCTGACTTTTCGGCCTCGGCCTTCATTCGGTTCTCCAACCTTTGCACCTGCAAAGTCAGGTCATCATTCAGGCGGCCCCGGCGGTCCATCTCGGCCTCACACTTCTTGTTATGCCCCTGGGCCAAGGACAACGCAGCCAAAGCCTCCTGCACGGATTTCTCCGAGTCAAGAAGCTTCCGACGCAGCTCCTCGACCTCGGTGTTCGCCTGCATCATAAGACTCTGAGCCAAAGCCAAGGAGCGAGCTTGGAACTCGTAGAAGAAGGTCCATTTGTAGGCCGCGCTCATCTGACCCATCATGTTTTGCCCAACCTCCAAAGTCAGATCTTGACTCAAGTAGTCTTGGGCGCTAACATTGGAGGCCAGAAAGTTCGGACTCACCAGCCCTTGCGGAGGCATAAGCACAGGCAACACTTGTTGTTTTTGCCTCCTTGCTTTGGCCTCGGCTCTCGCCTCCTCGGCCTTCCTCTTCGCCACCCTCACCTTGTGGGCATCCTAAACGACCTTGTCCTTCAACTTCGGTTGGGGCCGAGTCGTTTCACGGGTCGGAGCCCAATTATCCCCATGCGCAGTCGGCACCGGCGTCGAAGCTCGGCCTTGTATCAAGTTGTGGATGTCCAAGTCATCGTCTCCATAGCTCGTCATGATCCCTGCACAAACATTAGTCAAAATCAATGGCAACGCAGGAATTCATACAAAAGACAGATGTTATACCAATTAAATCGTCAAGAGGTTGTGCTGATTTCATAAGCCGAACAAGATCTCGGCACGGCAATGGCCGAGGCAGCTTCTCCAACACCGTCAAGTCGACCCTCTCCTCAGAAGACATCTTGGACTTCGACACCTCATCGTACTTCCTAGGCGCCCGAGTCCAATACAAAGGGAAAAAAGCCTTTCCCTCGTCATCAAAGAAGTACTTGTTGCCGGTACTGGGCCAAATCATTACCTTAAAGAACCCTACTTTGAACCCTTTGTAGGAGGTCGTGAACGGCTGAAGCAAGCAATGCTCTGTCCGAACCAACGACAGCCATTTTGCCTTCTTCGTCAGTCGAGAAGAGTAGAAATATAAGAACAGATGGGGAGTCGGCTCGATACCAAGTGCTAGGCACAATTGCCGAAACCCTTGCATCGCGGCCCAACTGTTCGGATGCAACTGTGTCGGCGCTACGTTGAGCAAACGGAGCACACCCATAAAAAAACTTGTCAAAAGGGAGTGTCACTCCCAAATCCCGAAACAAGTAATCATATACAAAAAAGAAGTTATATTTACACTTCTCTCGGCCAAGAAAAACAAAATCTGATTCCCATGACCCGTCATTCCGGCATGGTTCGAAAAAGAAATCGGATGGCACCTCACTCTCCAGAAGAGTAACAAAGTTCTCCGCGTCGAACAGCAATGCGATCGAGCCCTTATCAGTATACCGCGAAAATACACTGCCTACCTCTCCATGTACCCATCTATAGCCAGGAACTTCTATAGGGTCGAACTGACACGAGGCCAGGCCGACGCGGCGAGTACTCGGCCGACCCTCAATCATCTCGAGAGAAGAAGCCTCTTCTACACTTTGTGATTGCTCGAACCCTTCAATAATTTCTAAACTAGCTGACTTCTGCGATGCCGAATCCGAAGCACCCTTTTGGTGAGAAGGCTCACGCAAACCCACATCGGCAGAACCCGCTCCAGTATTCCCAGTGGAGCCAGCCTGAGAAACCCTATCCTCTACATCTATATCAAAATCAGCCATCGAAACGTACCTTAAACTGCAGTCGGCCTCGGTTGGTAACTAGCACTCAAGCTTGATCTCTATGTCGGCTCAGAGCAAATGCAAGTCACAGTTAAGTAAACACGTAAGGTTTGGTCCCCACCATGCCTATTTATAATACTTCCAGGAGCCACACACCAACCGTCACATCCCTGCGAACCGTTGGATCAACTTGATCCAACGATCCACAAGCCACGCCTTTTCAAATCCCACGTTTAAATGTTCAACGGTTATAACCCTTCACGTTCCCCACATTAATGCTCAACGGTTATAACCCTTCACGTTCCCACGATTAATGCCCAACGGTTATAATTCCACACTCAAACTCAACTGTCACACCTACAAAGTCAATTTTACCCTTTACGTCGTTACACTCCTCAAGGCTGGGGGGCTTGTGTACCGGAAGGACCTTATCGGCTACGTGGATCGGCCACGTGGACCGGCACGTCATGTCCTATCAGATATTGACGCAGCTCAGATATCACTTCGACTCGGCAAGGGACCGAGAACCGTACCCTTCCCCTATCGGCTCGGCCAGACGCCGAAGACAACGTCTCGGCCGTTCCGTATCGGCTCGGCCAAAGGTCAACAGAGAGAATAATTAGAATGACAATCATGATTAACAAGGGACAACGTACAATTAAGGCATAACCTGCCGATTAACATCGTATTACCTAATTTGGTAAATGTCAGAGAAGGCTCACCATGCTCAGGCCCATGTCAGGTATTATAAATAGGTCACACGTAACGAGGTATGTCACTGTTCAATTATTACTCCTGAGAATCGTGTTTGTCCTGACTTGAGCGTCGGAGTGCCTTTTGCAGGTACCTCTCCCCTCTGAAGCATCCACCTGAAGCTCTCGTTCGGCCCTCTACCCACCAGGAAATTACAAGTGTACCCTCATACAGGTACAATAAATAAATAAATAATAATAATAATAAAATGAATTTTTGGTTTATTAATCGATCCTACATCCTTCTCGTAAAGGGAAACACTAAATATTAAAGCATTGAAAAAGCTATGTAAGCATTTCTTGAAGTTGTCCGCACGGCTTCTTCTCTTATAAAACCCCATGATCACATTATGATCACATTCTCAATTTCATGATACCCCGCTTTATGTAACTCTCCTTCTTTTCTTCTCCTCCTTTCTCCCTTCACCACACACACACACCAAACAAAACCAAACCCAAAAATGGTGAAATTTTCAAAGGAGCTCGAAGCTCAACTGATACCAGAATGGAAAGAGGCCTTCGTCAACTACAGGCAGCTCAAGAAACACGTAAAGAGAATCAAACTCACAAGAGTTTCCAACCAATCACAACCCCCACAAGAGACCTTTGGTCGCTCCTTTATTGATTCTCTACGCTTCATAACCAAAAAGTTACACATTTCAGACAACAACAACATACAAGACATAATTCAGGTAATTAAACTAGTGTGTTATAAGATCATTATTTTATATATAGTTAATAAAGTTTGTACGTACGTTCTGGTTTGTTCCTTTTCAGCTCATTCTTTTGGTGGTTCCGGAAAAATATAAGTTCTAGGGGCATGTCTAAAACATTTGTTTGTATCTTTTAATTTTTTTTTATAATTTATTAGTGAGAAGTATTAACCAATTTTATTAATAACTATTTTTTATCAATTTAATTGAAGACGACCATGTGGCAGAATAAAAAATATGACTTCGATAGTTAATTTTCGGACAACGTAATGTCTCCGACGCTCGTAAGTCATTTGGTTTCTCTTCCAATCTTATAACAAGCTAAGCTTGCTAGCTGGTACTTTGTGATGATTTTAATTAACATAATTTAAGTCGCTTGTTTCTGACCAAGGGTTTGAAATTAATTTTACTTTGTGTAACAGCCATCACGTCATTAGTTCGGGTTAATATGAACCACGAAAACGTAATGCGATGACATATGAAAATCTATTAGCCACTGGTCTATTGGTTGCACATCAAAATCTACTACTTTATGGTCATATGAAATAAGTAAACTCATCAATAGATAACATATAAATAAATATAAATATATGACACAAAATATTGGAGTATTTGATGTATAGGAATGTCAATATATTTTTACAGCTAAATAATATGCATGAGATTAAAAATATTTTCACAGCTAAAGTTTTGATATATTAATTATATTGAAGTTAATAGTTATGTTATTTGAAAGGATATCAGTAACCCGTTAATTAATTATTATTAATTATTATATATGAAGTGCCGGATACGCGCCCTTTAAAAATGACTTATTCATGAAATAACTAAAAGATAAATTATAATAATAAACGTTATGAAAAATGTATTATTAATCTTTTTATATATTTATCATATATAAACTATTGAAATTCAATATATTCCATATTCAAATAATATCATTGTAATACTAAATGAATTTGATTATATCAGTTAAGTTTTTTTTTCTCAGAAATTACTTATCAATAAAGTTGATTAATATTTCATGTATATTAATATAAAAAAAATAAATTCTTTATATATGTTAATGGAGTCAATAAAATATTAGTAAAAAGGATGAAGTGGAGAATGTGAGAACGGCATTAAAGGCTAAAAAGCAAGTTTAGTGGCTTTTTTTTCTGAAACCCTTTTCTGCTTTTGCTTTCGAGAGTTTCTCATTCTCTCACGAAATCAAGGTGAAAACGGACATGCCGATAGTGGAAACACTATTGCACACATACCCATCACGAAACCATTGTGCACCCTAGAGCAAAATATAAACTACAAGATCATTAATGAAAAATCATAGATGCACGCATATATCCTCAGACGTGGAGAGCTAAGAAAATTTAAGAAGTATAAATATGATAACTGATATGAAGTGTAAAAAAAAATAATAATAATGATAATTGGAAGGTGTCAATTGAATTTATACATCACGTTGATATTCATATATCATTACCCTAAACTACTAGAATCAATCTAGTGACTAAGAGAAAGAGATAGATATACAAGAATTTAAGTTCAATTTTTGTTATTGTTGTTGTGGTTTTTTCTATAATATATATTACTATTACAGGTGAAGAGGAAAACAACGGAGGAGTGTGAAGAAGTGTATGAAACTGAGTTGGCTGAGTTGTTTTCTGAAGAAGATGAAATGCAAGTGTTTTTTGCAGAGCTTGATGGAGAGCTTAACAAGGTGAACCAATTCTACAAGAAGAAAGAGAGTGAGTTTGTTGAGAGAGGAGAAATGTTGAACAAACAACTTAACATATTGTTAGACCTTAAACAAGTTCTTAGTGACCGTCGCAGGAAAAATCCGTCGCCAAAGCCTTCTAATACCGGAATTTTTCCTCATTCTCCTGGCCAGGGTTCAAATTACTCAGGTCAGTTCTTTTGTTTATACTCTTATTGTTATATTTAAAATTACTCATGAATTGGAAAAACAAGCAAAGCTTCAATTAATTGAGTAATAAAAGTAGAAGAAAAAATTGTTAAGATATGTGCACGTGCCACGTTAGTTATTAATTAGTCATAGAACTTGAAGATTTCTTATAAAAATTAGACAATATTTTCCTCTCAGGATACTAAGACCTATTATTTATCCTTAGTGCATGTAAGTTTTTAATTTTTTTTCACCATCTATTCAATTTAACAGCTAACATATATATAGTGCACAGTACGTAGAATCATAAAAATAATTAATTATCCAAAATAATAATTTATAAAATATTACATTATATATGTGTAAGTATTCATCCGTGTAATATGTAATTATTTGTGCAGAGAGTATTGGAGAATCGAATGATGATAGTTCAGAAATGGATGAAGTAATTTCAACGTTGGAAAGAAATGGTCTAAGTTTTGTGAATTCAGCAATGAGGGTAAAGACAAAGAAGGGGAAGCCTCAGATGGCAATAAGAATCGATATTCCAGCCACCACACCAACGGCTGTTACTTCCATGTTGTGGGAGGATTTAGTGAATAGTCCAATAAAACCAGGGTATGGAAGAGAGTACATTAACAAGAGAAAAATTCAATGTGCTGAGAAGATGATTAGAAGTGCATTTGTAGAGCTTTATAAAGGTCTTGGCCTTCTCAAAACTTACAGGTTATTATTTATTTAATTACATTCATTTATTATTATTATTATTATTATTATATCATGTTATCATATGTAGTGATATTTTTTTAATAATCATGTTATTGATATAAAGTATTTATTAATTTTTTCAATAACTAATATTTTCTGGAAATCTTGATTGATTGTATTTAGTGTATCTCTTCTATTAATTATATTTTTTATCTACAAGACTTAGATTTAAAACCTTACTTAACAAATATTAAAGAGATCTCACATTAATTAGTAATATAGTTGATTTAATGCATATAATAAATAAAAAATAATCATCAACTTATAAATAAGTTTTGTAAAATTGAATTAAATCTAATTTATTTTTAAAAAAATTGAGTTTAATATTGCTCAAATCAACAACTTTTTATTATTATAAGGAAAACATAGGAAAGAATTAGGATGAAGAAGGATAAAGACTATATTAATGAATAATGAGGCTAATCGAATGTGTAGTTGCATGGAGTTTCACTACAGCACGTAAGAAAAAGATTGTGGATAGATATAGCAAAGGGAGGTTGGTGTGATAGCTGGGTTATATGGGCCAAGACGTTTCTATAGGGATCTAAGGCAAATGTGAACTGCCACCCTAATTAATTAATCCAATCATGCATGCTTCAAAATAATAGAGAAGTGATCCAAATTGGAGATCTTTCTTTTCAAGTTTATAATTTAACCTTTTTGTTAATTATTTCACTTCCCATACAAAATTTGAAATCCTTTCCAACTTATTTATTTATTATTAATATCATTATTATCATCATATTTCTAATATCTATATTATACTTTGAGGAATCCTTTGTTAAGTGCTTTTAAAATCAATAACATACGTGGGTAGAAAAAAGAGGGGGGGAAAGTGCATAAAAGCCATGCTTCTTTTGTGGGACTAGTCGAGACAACTTTACATGACATAGATGATGCATGAAGAGACCAATGACATGCTATAAAATGTAATTAGAATAAGAAACTCTCTTCGTGTGAAAGAATTATTACGTATCAATTTCATTTTTTAATTGGTCACAACGCTGGATTTTTCATTCCTTTACGTAATATATTATGCATGTTTTCATTGGATGGAAGGTTACATAGGCCATACCCTACTACAGTCTACAATACCCTTTTTTATGACTGATAAATAATTTCTAACCACATATTAATTCTATCTTCTTTGCAGCTCATTAAATATGGTAGCATTCTCAAAGATACTCAAGAAATTTGACAAGGTATATGGCTTCAAATAATATTATATCTTCGCCTACAAATGCATGATCACATTATATATATGAAACATGATGCAACAGTACATTGAGGAATTTGGGATATGTCTTTTTTTCTTTTCTTTTTTTGTTCCTTGTTCGGTTACATTTTTGTGTATGTAAGCATAAATCTTTTAGGTGTTAGTACTTGTCTATGGTCGATTGGTCGTACTCAACGTAGTTATTATGGCAAGAATAAATTAAAGATAAATGGAAGTACATTACAATTCAGACTTATTAGTTACATAATTCATCACATTTCAAACCAACTTGTAATTGTGGGCTATTTTTCTGACATGAAAGTCGTTAGAAACACTGGTAAGAAAGGAGACACTCTCATACCTCTTTATATTTATTTATTTTTCTATATTTATTAATAGGTTATAATTATAGAAAAAAAAATTAAGATTTGAAAAAAGGTAATCATGTAAATTAGTGAGTGAATAGTTTTTTTTATTAATAAGAGTGAGAAGTTTTAAAATTTCCTATTTAAATATAAAAGATTAAAAGTAAAAATCAAAAAAGGTAAACCTAATTTCCAAACAAAATATGTGACGACTCACACAAAAGCAGTTACTGCTTACTCTTTGTAGTTATTGGGGCACTCCTATGTATTAGAATTTTAATTCATAAACAGTGTTAGTGTTTGGCCAAATATATCAACTTAACATAATTTGTTGGCATGCATGTGTGGGCATGAGACAGGTGTGTAGCTCTTAAACAATCATTTATTAGCTAGAGGACATTTTTTTTAATCAAATATGGCATTCTGGACTCTTCAGGACCACAAAGGGATTGTGCTTCTATATATTATATTAGCATTGTCCATTTTAAAACATTTTCCATTTTTCATTTTTAGCTCAAAGTCATGACTCCTTTTCAATATGAAAAAAAAAATTAAAGGAAGAACCTTGTTTGTTCATAGTTAGCTCAAATAGAGTTATAAATATAAGTACTCACATTGAGCATATTTAGTATTTTTCATTTATATAAAACACAGTAAGTCGAAGTTATTTTATTTATAGATAATACAATGAAAGCTAAATATTGCTAATATTTGTTTATAGTTTGATTTAAACGTACTTTTAGTGTAATAAAAAATGTCTTAGACATGCATCTAGCAATATTTATTAAAATTGTCATGTTACCTAATAAATTTAGAATTTAATTAGAATACCTAATTAATAGTGTAAAGTTTTCTAACAATATTATTTAATCGCAGGTTGTCACGTATTAAATTTATAATATTTTTAAAAACATATATAAAATGATTTCTAATTAATTGAAAACTAAGAGATTTTTATCCTCTACTCAAATTTTGCATGTCTCAATGATGCCAATTCAAGTAGCACTCGGCATTATTTTCGTGTTTATGACGATCCATTAAACTACTTAATTCACCTCTTTGATAATTGATACGTAATATAATAATTTATCTATCACAAAGTATTTATAATTTTAGCTTAGCATTTTCATTTTTTGATATGAAAATGAAATTTTGTTGCCATTTGATCAGGTATCTTGTCAAAAAGCCTCCGTAAATTATTTAAAAGAAGTGAAGAGATCCCATTTCATTAGTTCTGATAAGGTATGCCCTTAAATCCAAGAGTGAAAAAGAAACAAACATGTATATTCAAATTTCCATAGTTTTGATTTGATCCTTCTCTAATGTGTATTCTTGGTGAGGAGAATGGGTTACATTACACTACATGGCTTTCTAATAATTGGTGGTTAATTATATACATCCAATATAATATTTTGACTAAAGGTTGTTAGACTAATGGACGAAGTGGAATCCATATTCACAACGCACTTCGCAAACAATGATAGGAAAAAGGCAATGAAGTTTCTAAGACCCCAACAGCCAAAAGCTTCTCATATGATCACCTTCCTTGTTGGTAATGCTCTTTTCTCTCTCTTCCTAACTCCTAAAATGTAAATAAAGTTTAATTATCATCCATTGTTTAGTCTAAATATTTTTACACAATACATCAAATAAATATGGTCAATATTATATGATTTTTAAGAATATTATTGTAAGAGTTTATTCACTATGCAATGACAATGTAAAATATTTTTTATATTATCAATTAATTATAATTTATCATGAGTATTTTTTAGCTATTTATTATAAAAATCAACAAATGTGTCATATATAATAATTTGCAATCGGATAATAATGTAAAATTATTTTACATAATTTATTTTCTCTTATTATAAAAGAAACTCACACTTAATTAAGATGTACCTTAGAAGATTTTTTAAGATAATTAAATTATAAGAGTTTAATAGTTATGCACTCTTAATATTTAAAGGAATTTTACACTATCAACTAATTACAATGTATCATTAGTATGGCATATTAGTTATTTATTTTAATGATTTATCTTGGAATATGAATAAATGTGAGTAGTTTGAAACTGAATAAATAGTGAGTGATTTTTTTAATAAAAAAGATAGATTTTGATATTATATTAAATGTGAATTTAAACCTAACTTAATTCTAACAAATTAATTTGTAAGATGAAAATTATTATATTTTATTTTAATTTTATCTCTAATTAATATGAAACTTGAAAGAGTTTTTCTAATACACTCTTTCACACCATGTGTTTGGTAAATAAATAATTGATAACCATTTTTAATAAATATGATATAAGCTTTCATATATACTATCTTAGAATGTAATTTAAATATAACTCAATTTTACAAATTCAGTTTACTCTATCAAAATTATCCTTCTTTATTTGGACTTTATATGTCTCTTGCTAATATGATACTAACATTTTCTCCAATAATTTTTGAGTGGGTGTCAATATAAAAAAGTCACGCCTAATCAAATTCATATAAATATATAACAGAAAGGAAAGATTGTTCATTATAGTATCCACTTATTTCTTAACTGTGTTCAAAAGTCAAAACCATATAATATTTTATTGAGATACAAACAAGTCACACATCGATAAAATAAGACAATAAATAACAATTTATATAATACAAACATATTTCAATGATTGAGAGGCTTTTTGGGTAATGACCAAAAGCAAAACCGTGAGGGCTAAGGCCCAAAGCGGATAATATCTCATTATTGTGGAGTATGTTTGTGCAATAACCTTATAAAAATAATCCTCATAAAATATCCCCTCAGACAAATACCATAAAATAACCCCATCAATAGTATCAGAGTCGCAGGTTGAATTCGGTGACAACCAATAATCCCATAACTCATAACATATAATGTGTTATATAAAGACAGATTCCGTTGTATGAAGGTTATTGAGAGGCCTTTTGGGTAATGACCAAAAGCAAAACCGTGAGGGCTAAGGCCCAAAACGAACAATATCTCATCATTGTGAAGTATATTTGTGTAATAACCTTATAAAAATAACCCTCATAAAATATTCCATCAAACAAATACCATAAAATAATCTCATCATATTTTATGCCTAATGATAGCTGCATCACTTCATAATAATGCATTATATGATGTTACCACATGAGCCAAATTTTCATGTATTGCAACCAGCCAGTGGCCACTAAGTGTGGTGAACCCACTAAGCTTTTAGGTCAATTATTTAGTTATTTATTTATTTTGGAATCAATTTTATTTTCCCCTTATGTTAACATTTGATTGATGCTTCTATGTTACTTCCTCTACAGGGTTGTCTACAGGATGTTCTGTATCTTTGTTTTGTGTATACGTAATCTTGGCTCATTTGTGTGGTATATTCTCTCCAAGTACAGAGCCAGCTTATATGGATGTTGTCTACCCTGTTTCCAGGTGCTACATTGCATGCTTCCAATTTTAATGTACTTCAAAAATGACTTTTATGAATACTATTTTAATCAAGACTATTCAACATCCTACTTCCTTCTATTTAAACATAAAGATTTGTAATATGAACTGTCAATTTCTAACACGTATCCATTTTCTATATATAAATTGGATTAGTTATCTTGAACAATTTAAAAAAAAAAATTCTTTAATGAATGCTTGGAATTTGCTTCGGTGGAAACCTTTTTATAATTCTTTGAGTCTCTTATCTCTTTTAATTTATTATTTTATTTTTAATTTAAATTCTAATATTTTAAAAATTTATCATTAATTCAAAATAACTTTATATCACAGTATAAATTATTTATTATAAGCCTAAAATTTAATTTATATGTTAAAATATTTATTTATTACAAATTTTAATTATAATATAATTTATATATTTAAATTTATTTATTTAATTATCATCGATTATAGCTATACAGAATAAACATTTACCAAACACATTTCACAAATTAATACTAGTTAATTGAATCAAATATAAAACTTTGGATGTTGTGTGGTTTGGTTTCAGAGGCAATTTATATCTCGGCTTCAATTTGCAGCTAAGTTTTTTATTTTGTTCTAAATAATGCTTCCAACTCTTGGTATGACATTGCTTTTAAAAGAAATCGAGAATTTAGAAATATTTAAAGATTGCTCATTTTTTAAGAAACAAAATCAAAATTCACTCACTATGCATAAATTAAAAACATTTTAAAATACTTTTTTCATTACTCCTAGACGAGGAAGTCATCATAGTATAGTGTGACAATCCAATGTCTATAGTCAAATTAAATGATAACACAAATACTTATATAAGTATTACCTCCTCTGCAAGTGATATCATTTTGTTAGCTTCTTCGTGGTCATAACCAGAAGATCCCAAAGCCAGCATTCCAGGAACAAAACATGCTAATTCATCCATCTGAAAAAAGGATATGAGACTAAAGATTCTTTTAATGACATGTTTCACTGAGGCTGAATAAATTTCCTTTTCAAATAACACACCTTGTCAAAGACTGCATTTCCAAGCTTCTCAGATATATATGTAAAAGATGAAGGTGTTGACTTCCTAATCAAGCTTCGAAGACCTTTCATTGATTTCTCCCACATTTCCCTAAATTTGTCATTTGCTCACACATTTAATTATGGTCCAGAAATACATGTTTAATTCAAACTTTGAACTTTCCTATTAAAGAAGTACACAGGACTACAAAAAAGGATTTCCCAACTATGTAGTATATTAAACCAAATAGAAAACACATGCAACTGAAGTCCAAAAGAAAGTGATGGCAAGTTTGTCACAAGTGTACGATTTATGACGACATAAGATAATTGGATTGATAACTTCTTACAAAGATATGAAATATGCTTAAATTTTTAAAGGATGATTAACATTTCAAGTTCATTACCTATAAAATGTTACAACTTCAGTTTTATTTCCTTGTATCCAAGCCTTGAGTAGATATTCATAGAAGCTGCAATACATATATTGGTAGCCTTGTCAAGTATCTAAATAATGAAGTGATTGGAAAATATCAAGCAATTTATAGCCTAGTCAAGGTTAATTTCGATAGTTGACATCTATTTTCAATCTATTGTCACACTAATGTTACCAATCAGCAAGAATAACAATTAGTTGAATTGAGAAATCAGTTTCAATTTGAAAGATATATCGTCATATTTTTTTTGATCTCGTATATATCGTCATATTTAAATTGTCATTATACATTAACATATTAAAAATTACCATGTACCTATTCAATAAAGTAAAAATGTATCAATAATCCAATTCGTTCCATATTTCAAATAATCGTAACTCAAATACATGTAGATTGTTGAGGTCGGAAAAGTAATTTAAAATTTCAAATTCAAATCTCTAAGATATTATTTAGATTTTAAAAGATATTAATTTTTTTAAGATATTATTTAAAATTAAAATATATTATATTTATTTTAGAGATTTATTTTTTCTTTTAAGATTAGACTATAAAGTTTTAATATGATGTTGTTTTTATTTATTTATGATGTTGTTTTAATATGTTCTCTCACCATTATTGTACCTAAAAGAGGAAAAGATTTTTGTTCCTAGCAATCCCTTCATCAAATTCAATTTATCGTCGATTTGTTTCTTTCCCCATGAAGCATCAACAATCCATTTGTATCTTTTATGTTTCGTTCAGCTCATAAAAGTCAAATAGTTCAATAAAAGTTAGCATGAAATTGGAATTGAAATTTATTTGAAGACCTAAGTAACCTATAATTCTAAGATTTTATAATAATGATGTTATAAGATATTATTAATATCATTACCTATCACCCATGGCACCAAATGTAATTGTTCCACTCGATTGAGCTCCAGTATGTGGATTAAGGTATATAGGAAGCAATCCATCTTCAGGAAAAGTTCTATAAAGTTCCTTGATGACCTTTTCAGCCTAAAATAATTAGAAGGCAAAATTATAACACTTTAAAAATCAATACACTTAGGAATGAGAAAGCTAAAATACTAGAACAAACTCAGTTCAAGAAAAAAAAAATACAAAATTGACAAAAAAAAAAAATAGTTAAAAAACACATGAAAAACAATAAAAAGTAACCTTTTGTCTATACTTGGGGTCTTTTGTCCTTTGAGAAAGAGCAATAAATTCAAGTTGCTCTGAACCAGAATCTGCAAGAATACTATTTCCCTAGTAATAGAGAAAATTCAATTAAGAAAATAACACAAGCTACAATAAGTGAAAAATGATACGCATTTAGTTATAAAGTTCAGGAAGCAAATTTAATCATATAAATGATTGAAAGAAAACACTAAAAGAAATGTGCATAACATATTACATAACCCATAGACTACAAAATCCAAAGGAAATGTTGAAGGTGAAACTAGCATGAATACTAATATAGAAGAGGGATCCTTTTACTTCAAGAATAAGTCTACTTAGACTTACTCCGTTCAATAACTCATGTTCTACATCAAATTTTAACGATCTAACCGTTCAATTTAAAGTTCTTAATGCATAGATTAAATATGCAAATTTTTAGAAAATTTGAGAAACATTTGATACTTCGTTTCATTAGTTCAAATCAATGTATAAAATAATTTTATGATTATCCGTCAATTTGAATTAATGAAATGAAGTATCAAATGATTTTCAAAATTTTTAAAAATTTGCAGATTTGATCTTTGCATTAAGAACTTTAAATTGAACGGTAAGATTGTTGAAATTTGATGTAGAACATGAGTTATTGAACGAAGTAAGTCTAAGTAGACTTACTCCTAGAGTAAAAGGATCCCTCCTCTACTAATCTATATTACCTTATGAATCCTTTATATTTTTTAATAGCCTTTTCAATTCTAACCAACATTGCCCAAATAATGCCATGAAATTATGATAACATTTGCAATAAAAAAAAAAGATGTGTTTTTCTATATATATATATATATATAAAAGGAAGGTTCAAACGACGCCGGTATAACTTTTACTAAGTGTTACACCGCTCAATAACTTTATATTAAATGTGAATTTTAAAAATACAACTGTTAGATTGAAAGTTCATATTTTTTAGATCATATATGTCAAATTTTGTTAAAATTGAACAACAACTTGAAGGTAATCAAAGTATTTATATTTTAATATATTTTGAAATGTATATATTACGTCAATTTTGTTTTATGAGAATGAAGTATCAAATCATCTTAAATTAATACAAAATTTGACATATATGAACTAAGAGATATGAATTTTCAATCTAACGGTTGAATTTTTAAAATTCATATTTAATATAAAATTATTGAGCAGTGTAACACTTAGTAAAAGTTACATCAGTATCGTTTGAACTCTCCTATATATATATATATATATATATATAAATGTTGACAATGACATTTTGATATAGAAAACATTAACATCTTTGTGTTAAAATATTAAATATAGATAAATAAATAAAGTACACGGTAAGGATAAAACATACCCGAGCCCATGGAGGGTTATTTATATTTCCATATTCTAAGTTAATTCTGTTATACGGAATTCCTGAAGGTGTATTCCAAGCAGGCAACAACTTATCTGCAAGATCCCTAGCCTTTTCAAGGAAAACTTTGTCACCAGATAGGTCATAAGTACTAAGAAGGCCACCCAAAACTCTAAACACAATCAAATTAATAGACAAATGAGAAAACAAATTAAAAGACAATTTTTACTATAATCTTCTAAGTTACAACAAATATGAGGTGGGGAAGATGGAATTTAAAAAATAATAAAAAAAACTAAGATTGAACCTTCTAATTCAACCTTATGGTTGTCTCGAACACACTAACTTCAATATTTCTGTCAAAAGACAATGATTTTGCAATCCACCTGTAATATTTGAAATATTATATTAGATGCTTTGAATGTAACCACATTTGATAAAAAAAAGAATTATATAACAACAACAAAAGAATACCAACATTCATACAATCATGTCCATAAAAAAAATGATATATCCACATTATAAAAAAAAATGGGATAAGTCTTTTCATTGTTTTGTTTTTCCAATTCAACTTGTAGCAAAGTTGAAAAGGTTGTACAATAAAAGGAGAGATATTCATAAATATGTTGAAAAGCATGCATAGAAGATTTATTAAAAATAAACAACAACTTACTCTTTTGCTCTTTCGAACTGGGCATCAAGACCCATTATAAATAATGTGTCAAGTGAATCAACTAAAGTTGCCCCAAGTCCACCAAAATTGTCAACACCATACATTGATTGTGGCTGTGAAATGAATAGAAAATTAATTAGTTGTACAATTTTGATTTTATTGAGGAAGGAATGGAAAAGAAAAAAAAATGCGAATTAAAAGATAACAAATATTTTCGTGAGAAATATCATTCAAAACCTCATCATACAATAAGGCAAAAACAAAAACAAAAAAATCAAAAAATAGCATGCATAGACACCTTTTATATCATTGTTTTTATTGTACACTTCAGATACATTTTAGTTGCAATTGGCATATATTATTGTGTATTGTACTGTGAAAATTCATATATCCTTTGATGGATCAAAAGTTAACTGTAGTTTGTCGTCTCAATATATGAAAGATGTATCTCTTTTATAAGCTTAAACAACTTAACCAAAAGGATTTCCTCTATCTTATGTAGCAAATTTTCAAGCTTGACAATCATAACATGACCTATGGTTACCTAACCTATCTTACCCTACACAAGGAAAGTTCAAAACTTGCCTTACTAAGCAATTGATGGAATAACATTATTGTGGTGTAGATGTGGGTTCGGCATCAAATTGTCATACCTCGTCTCACGTCTATTATAAAAATAAGTGTTTTGTCTTAACTAAAAGTGAAGTTACGTTTAATTCATGTTAGTTATGTCTTTTTATAAAACGTAATAAACCTACATTAATTTAATAATTATCATTATTGCATCTTAATGTGTAAGGCATGATAGATTGTTTTAAGATTATAATTGACTATTGTATAAATTTAATTAATAATATTATATGAGGATGATTTATTTATTTTATGAGTAAGTCTACCTAAATTTATTTTGTTCAATAACTCATGTTTTATATCAAATTTAAACGATTTAACAGTTGAATTTAAAGTTCTTAATGTATAAATTAAGTTTACAAATTTTAAAAATAAAATAAAATTTATTTAATATTATATTTTATTAATTTAAATTGATAAATAATCATAAAATTATTTTATAAGTTGACTTCTATATTATATATGTAAGATGAGGGTTAACTTCTAATATTTTCTTTTGAGACAAGTTTAGCATTGTTTTAAGGTCTAGGACAATGTCACTTTGGACAAAAACCCACCCCATTGTCAAGCCTATAAAATTTATAATTAAAATCAGTGAAAGAAAGGTATTTCATACCTATCTGCATTTATAATTTTGGGGATACATATACATATGAATGGTAATTTAAAAGAATAATAAGAAATAAAGATTGATTAGATGATGAAGAAAAATGGTTATAATATACAATTAAAGGAAAAATATATTTAAAGTAACAAAAGGGAAAATGAAATAATGGATGAGGAATTTACATTATCGTTAAAGAACAAAAGCATCTAAAAAAACAGTAAAGAACAAATCAAAGTATAAACTTTATTAGTTGTTATAGATTAAATTCTAAGTAACTATCTTAACCAGTTTAAGTGACTAAGAACAACTCTTTACTCCTTAATTACACTTAGGGGCTTTACTTTATGTCCATATTGCTAGAAAAAAGTACACTTGTGTAAATGACATGAATATATGTCATCCAAATTAGCTCAATGAAGTGCAATGAAAAATGCTAGTTAATCAACTTATTCTTCATAGTGAGTTACTAACTTCTTCTCTATTAAAAAATAATAAAACTCAAAAAGCTTAATTCAAAAGGAAGGGGAAACTAAACAAGTGACATACATAATATGTATTCATCGTATGCAAGAAGTGGCATAGATTAGCTAAAAGGTTAAAAAAAATATTATGAAAAACCTTAAGTTCATCCTTTCCCCATGCATACTTTTCATAAGATGTCCAAGCATGAAGCATGGCATCTTTTACTTTATCTCTTCGTTGTAAATTAATAGGATCATCCTCAACAGAAATGTCATTTGTGAATTTATCGACTTTTTCATCATTTTGGATACTTTCTGCTGAATCTTTGATATTGCCCTTTACATCTTCCAACTGCAATTTCAAATAACTCAAATTAAGCCAACAATACAGCTAAGGCCAGCAAAAAACTCAAAAAGTATAGCTACAACCCTCTAGATAATCGAAATTTGCACATCTTACTTTATTTTGCAAGCGAATAACCTCTTTTTTTAATTTCAAAATATCCTCCTGGTAAAAAAAAAAAAAAAAAAAAAAAAAAAAAAAAAAAAAAAAAAAACCTTAAAGAACTATATCTCAAAAAAATCGAAGTCATCAAGAGAATTCATAAGCAAGTTTCAAATTCTTAAACCAATGCATTAACAACGATCAAATGAACCATTGAATTTGAAAACATTAACAATGGGTATGCAAAGTGATACGGTATTCCTTTTCCAAATCTCACGTGGAATTTTACAAAAGAAAGATATTGATTTCATGATTATAACAAAAACGAAAAATCATTTAATCATATAACTAAGAAGACATTAGAATAAATAGTGAAACAACCTGGTGTCCCATACTAAGTGATTTGCGTTCATAAAGAATCCATGCAAGTGATACACAAACAATAAGGACCAATGCAAGTCGTTTAGGCCTCTTTATGTAATAACGAGGCTGTAAATATCGCCATACAGATGTAGACGATGAAAAAGAAGATTTCTTTCCCATTCTTCCTCAAACAATTAATCTTCAATCAACCCAGAAACAAATCTAAGTAAGAGAAAGAGATGGAGTATTAACAGTGATATTAAAAAATAAGAGTTGAGATAAGAATGGTATTGTTATAGCCTTATAGGTGGTGTGGTACAAAAGGATGTATAAGTTGTAACCTCAACGCAAAGAACGCACGCAGTAAATGTCGGGGGACTTTTCTCTATTTTTGGAACTTCTCTCCTCCCTTTTTTTCTTTCTTTAACTTAATCATTTTCATCCTTCACTTAGATAATTTTCTGAATTATTCTTTTAAATTAAGAGTTTTGTTGATGAGCATCCTACAATAATAGTTATAAATAACATAGTAATTTTTTATTTATATCTTTTATTATTAAACACAATATTGTTTATTAATTTTTTTTAATTATCTATATATAAATTTTAAATATTTTTATTTTATTATCTCACTCATTGTTTTATTTTTTTTTACTTTAAACAAAAAAATTATTATTTGTAATTTTATGTAATCTTAATTATTTTTTAATTATCTTAATTAATTTATTATTTTCTGAACATGTAAGTTATATTTTTAATTAATGATAAATTACTTATATTATGATATAATATTTTTTTAATAATGATCAATCATTACTTTTAAAATTTAAAACTCAATTTTGAAATAAAGAAATGAAAAGAATAGATAGAGAAGAGTAGACGATTAATAAAATCAAATATACAAATAAAGATAACATCTTTCAAAATGTTTTTGTTTAAATTTTTTTAGAACATTCTTATAGAAGAATAATCCTTAAATGTGCTCTCATTTGATATAATTATTTTAGTTTATATATAAATGTGTTAAAATTTAATTTGAATTTGAAGATAATAACATATTCATAAAATCAATAATTAATATAATTTAATTTAAGTTAAATTTATAAATAATATTATTGTTATAATTTAAATAAAAATATATTTTTTTAATTTGTGCATTGCCAAAAATAAATATTTATTTTTATAAATTTAAAATTCATAATCAATAAATATTTTTAAATATATAAATTATATTATATACTATTTATAATAAATAAATATTTTAAATATATAAATCATATTTTTAGTTTATAAAGAATAATTTGAATTTTAATATAAATTATTTTAAATCAAAACAAATGATGGGTAATGAAAATAAAAAATAAAAAAGGAGACTAGCTTGAAATAGTTGTAAGAGATATTTTTTTGCTAGTTTCAGGAATGATGTGTGAAATGCACCTTCAAACGAAAAATATTGTGTGTTGAACAAGGTTTATTATGGTTGGAATTATTAAATGTTTGATTTTTGATTACGTTAATATAGCCTTTATTTATAGAAACAAAATTTACCTCAATGATGCATTTCAAATGAAACTAATTTATGATTATTAGTTGGTAGATATCCTTGATGTAAAGTTAAAATATATACATATATAAATTATAAGTTATAAATTTATTCTTTTTCTTGTTAAGTTCTTACGTTAATGAATATTCAATGTTTTTATTAAATATTTATATGTTAAATAACCAATTGTAAAATATTTTTAATTTTAACATAGTAATTTCTTTCGCACAATAAACTTCTATTTCTTTTTGTCATACATTCAATAATATATAACTCTATCCCACTATAAATTAAGCTGAGTTAGGTCCAGTTTTCAACTAAAATTAAAAAAACAATTACGGAAACATGATCCAGTTATGTTTGTTTTTGAACATGTAATGATAATTAAATATAAAATAAAAGTATTTTTCTTTTATATTCTTATATTAATATTTAAATAACCACGAGTATATTTATTGTTTTATATTTTATTTTGAGTTGCTTAAATGATAAATTTATTTTTGAAATTATAAATTAAATACTAAAAGGCAAAAATATT